AGAAAGAAAGAAAGAAAGAAAGAAAGAAAGAAAGAAAGAAAGAAAGAAAGAAAGAAAGAAAGAGGAAGAAAATTAACTGAGCCTGGTAACATGCCCCTGTAGTCCCTACTACATGGAAGGCTGAGGCAAGGAAATTTCTTGAGCACAGGGATTTGAGGCTGTAATGAGCACTCTACCCTAGGTGACATAGCAAGACCCTGTAAAAAAAAAAAAAAAAAAGGTGTATCTTATGCCAAAAAGGTTTTCCCCATGCTTACATATGCATGACCAGGGTGGCAGGCTGGTAAATACCCAGGGGGTGATGAGGAAGCTAATTTCTAGCTTCAGTGTACCAATTTCCATGGGGTAAAGACTCCTACCAAAGCCAATTTCAAATGACTAATTTAATAAAGGGCTTAAAAGCTTTCTAAAAATTGAATAATTGGTTCTTACAAGCCCACACCACCTAGCTCCAGCAAACAACTGCCACAATTGGTAAAGGTTTCACACTAGTTCTGCTATATGGCACCTGCTTTTAAACAGACACATCTATTACAAACAAGTCCATCACATTCCATTTTACTGATATATATATGTATCTCAATATATGTATATATATATATCAGTATATATATGTATATATTGATTTAAGTATCCTTTATCATGAATATTCATATTGTTTCCAAAACTACTCATTGTAAAAATATTATGAAAAATACAGGTTTTGAGTATGTCTTTATGTATTTCTCTGATAATTTTCTTAGGATATACTATGGATGGTTCATTATAAGATTACAGGGAGGTATTTTGGCGGTATCTTTGAAACAAATAGCCAAGGTCCCCCCTCCAAAGCCTATGCCAGGTGCACTCTCAACCACTGTGTGTGAGACCAGCATACCTGGTCATTAAATCGCTGCATCCAGACGAACGCTAGGTGGAATTGTTCTTTAATCTCTGCCAGAAGTATGAGTGGAAAAAAAAAATGGCATCTCACGTTGGATTAGCTTGAATCTATTTTCTCATGCATGAAGTAGAGCTTCTTTTTAGCCTAATCAATCTATGCTGATCCGTTTTTGACGGCCTGAACTGCTAGTTTCAAATGTTTTTGCTAATTTTTCCAAAGTATGCTTTATATTGAAAAGACGTGTGTGTGTGTGTGTGTGTGTGTGTGTGTGTGTACAATAGCTCCTTGTATTTTGATGATATGAACCCTTTGCCATATACTTGTTTTCCCAATTTTTCATTTGTCCTTCTTATATTCATCTTTGCTACCATATAGCAAGAGAATGTACCATTTGTTAGGGTATATGTTTGTTAAATTTATGATTATAATATTTTGTGCTATACTAATTTTTAAATCTTTATGTAGTCGATTACATCAGACTTTCTTTGCTAACCCCTACCTTTGATGACATATATAGAAATGTCTCCATCCCAACATTAAAAAAATGTTTGCATATATTTTTTTCTACTACTCTTAGAGTTTAATTTATTTTTTATATTCAAATACTTAATTCAACTGAGATTTATTTCGGGGTACAAAGTAGGAATTGTACCCCAATTAAATTCCTACCTTGTGAAGTACAAGGTAGGAATTGTACCCCAATTAAATTCCTACCTTGTGAAGTACAAGGTAGGAATTTAATTATTTTTTCTAAAAAATTATCCAAATGTCCTAGCATTTAAATATATCTCTTCCTCTGACTCTGGATGTTAACCCTGGGCAGCCGCCAGCTGCAGAGCTGGCTTCCTTTCTTTTCTGGATTCCTGTTTTCACTTCAATTTTGGCCTCTAAGGATTTCTTACCAACTCAGCAATTCATTTTAAATGACATTTATTTTTAAATGCAGCATTTCAAGCTGCTTTACAGCAAAAGGGGTGTTTAGAGGACCTTGTCCGCCATACTGGGAAAAACAGAAATCCTTTCCAATCTTATTCCCACGTAGCAGCTAGCACGCTCATTTAATACCTTAGCTGGATAACGTAAGGGTCCTGCCCAAATCCTTTCAATGGCTTTTTATTGCAGTTAAAGTAAATGTAACAACGTCCTCAGAATGTGCTGCACCCTGCCTACGTCTTCCTCTTCCTCTCATGCTCCATTCCCCATAGTTCGTGAAGCTCCTGCAACCCAGCATCTACATGCCATCCCACTGTTTTGAAGATGGCTCGTTCTCATCCCTCAATTCTCAATAAAACAGCATCTTCATTAATAGATCGTCCTTAATTATGGGATAAGGAAAGGAATACCCCATTACTTTCCATCACTATAATGCCTTATTTATAATTATAGAGAACTTCTTATACAAATGGGTTTATTTACTTGTTTTCTTCAAGTAAGAAAAGACTTGAAGCCCTTCCCAAGACTATGAACTCCATGAGGGCAAAGATAATTTGTTTTGGTTACCAATACGGGCAAGTACAGTGTCTAGCACATACTCACACACTATAGATAAATGAATGAATACACACACAGTGTCTTTCTCATCTTTACCTACCCTATGTACAGGGGTCAGCACATAACAGGTGCCCAGGAGACATATGCTGAATTGGATTTCACATCTAATCATGAATGACCAACCTCTCTAAATATGGAGGTTATACAGATCTTTAACCTGTTTCTATTAAATCCCCAAGTTGTACATTTAAAGTAGGAGGACAATACTTATCATCCTTTTGTGACAAAAATATTCCATGTTTTGAAATGAATAATTAGCATATTAAAAAGCTGATTTCCCTGGAACTGAAGAGGATTTGTGTATTAAATCTGCTGGAATTTCAATTCTAGAGAGTTTGCAGTACATGAAATAGCTTACCTATGTATGAATATGGATGGGTTAAGGTGCCGCCAGCCCATACTTCAGTGTACTTACTGAGTCCAAGTGACATTCTAGCTGTTTTGTTGCCATACACACAAAAAGTGATCATTTCCGAGAGAGATAAAACATTCCAGCTCCACCAGAAATAAAACAGAACTTGGAGTGAAACCACAATAAAATTTCACAATTCACTTCTAATCACTGCCAAAGATTAGCAGAAAAGAACTGGCATTTGTAAACTGAAAAGAATTTTCTAGAACTCTACACTGCTGGGTACCCAAAAAATCTCTGAGCCACGTGCAAACATTCTTGACTAAGTCCCTTATCCCCTAAGTGGGGGGATAGAGGCCACAGTCAGTCGTTGGAAAATGATGAAAAGCTAGGGAGTTAAGAGTTAGTAGGACCTCTGAGTTAGCCGCAGGGGAATCCATATGAATAATGCCAAAGCTACCTTGCAGCATGCCAAAGTTAACAGCTTCCCACTCCACTCAAACCTGCTGCATCTGTACCAAGCCACCTTTCCTTCATTGATCTGCAATCTTTTTCCAGTTTAGAACTGCTTTCCTTTGAGAAAATTTTTATAAACTGGGAAATATGCATATTATCCCTATATACACAATTAAAGTGTACTATCTATGTTTCAGGAAGACTGGAGCAAATCAACTTGAAATTTTATTGGCAACATGAAAAATCACATCTTAGGTTCTGTTTTGGTAACTGGCTAAATGTTTCTTTTCAAATATGTGTGTTCCATATAATCAATTATTGACAGATTTGGTTGGCATGTTTTGAAAATGAAGTCTTAATTATAAATAATTCAGTGGCAGCATGGTATATTTTAAATGACAGTGCATCTTAAAGTCAAATAGCAATACGAATTTTACTACTTACTACTATAGTGATATTAGGTAAGTTAATTCAATTTTTTGAATTTGGAGTTCCTCACTTGTAACAATAGAAGAAAAAATACATTTCTGTATTATGAGGCTTTTCAGAAATGAATATAATCTTATATGAGTATTGTCCTTGATTTAAAGAATGTTACTTTCCTCACTTTTCTTCCTTTCCATTACCTACCTACCCACCCACTGCATAGTAATTATCAATTTACAGAGAATTAAAATAAAATAGATTTAAAGTCATATTTAGCTTAGCATGGTCTTCTTTTAGTGATTAAAAAGCAATACTGTAAAATGCTTCATGGCTATTATTGCAGTCATCAATTATTACTGCATTACAGATGAGAGACCCGTTTTAAGAACAGGATATTTCGAGTAATGTAGGTGAGAGAGCTAAAAGTTTGCCTTAATAAAGCAACCAGGAAGAAAGACCCTGTCTTCACTTTCTTCCTGAAATTCCCCTTAGCATTTTACTAAGAAGACTGCATGCAGTGGGAGGGAGAAAGTCCTCCAACACTTCCGATTACTAATTACTCCATTTACGATTTCCATGATTTCAATCAACCCTCAAGTAAAGCTATACGCTCCTCTTAGACCTGAATATAGATGGGCTGGGTTTCTACTGTGCCTCAAGAAATACATTGCTGCTAGCAAAGACATTTCAGAGCTCAGTGTCAATTGCAAACAACAGCAGATCGTTTCTGCCTTAGGACTAGAAACTTGCAAAAGTGGATCCAGAGTTTTATGCTTTTGCCTGCCATCTCTTCTTCCTTCCTTATCCTGAAGGGCATGCAAAGCTTTCAGTATCCACCACCTCTGCTGTACCCTTTATTTTTTTTTTCTGAATAAAAGTATACTGATTAACAAAGCCTTATCCCTGGAGATGCTGATCACTCTCATGGCTGTAGGTGTGCTAGATGCAAGGAAATTTCTGGAAGATTTAAGGTTTCTATTTTCTCTCACCATCTTAATATACTGGGAAGGAGGGAAAGGGTAAGAATGTAAAACAAACAAACA